GTCATAAGTGATTTTGATTTTAGACTGACATTCCTCTATACATAACAGGACTTGCATGTATAGGTTAACACTAAATTTATATATGTAAGTTTGGAAAAAAAAACATCTGCAAAAGTTGAAAGAAGACCGCTGAAAGTGCTTTCCCATTAAGGTCGCACATGAAAATTGCAACAACCCCAAATTTGCGCCCATCGCGGAGCTTTCACTTAATGATTTGAGTCGAATGAAGTTCAAATTACTTGAAGTTTATTTAAGCAGTGCGAACACGGACGTTACCGACGTCTGTGAAGAAGACTAATGAAGGTCGCGCTAAGCGTCGAAGTAGATAAGAATGAAAGAACTTGCAAATTCACGCATTGTAGGCCACGGCCACAAAGTGCTCAAATATCTGAAATTCATCTCCAAGGACAAGAGAGGGAAACCAATATGGCAAGAGTCCGAATGTATTGTGGGAGTTTCTAGGAACCTTAAATGGCACTAAAACACCACAGGTGGCAGCCCAGGAATAAATCCTTATCTTGAGCACTTAAATCACTGTAAATTTATGCATACAACAGCATTTAGCCATTGGCACCTCAGCGAGGATTTGATTGGCACTCGATGCTGTGAGCTGTCTGCCTAAGGCAAATGAGACCCTGGGTTACATGGCACAGCTGGTGGGAAATGAGCCAAATTGTTTTGAATTTCAATTTATGAGTAACAGATAACCAAATAATGACAGCTTTTCGAAATTACAAATCCAAGGATGTGGGAATTGTAGGGATAGCTTTATGCCGAAGAATACCCAAATGGTTGTAAATCAATCCGAGCATAACAAACAAAACCGTAAAAGTCGATTGGTTTATAGGTGAATGGGAAGGTGACGGACAAGAACAATGAACGCATATGTCGGATTGATTAGATTGAAGATCCAGGGCAGATCACAAATGATAAAAAAAAATGCCCACAAATCGCTCATTTTCTGGAGTTGACGTTAAGAAACGACTTCTTCCCACTTCAACTATATTTTTAAAAATTTTAAATTTCTGCATAACCTTCTCTGACACAAAATTTTGTACGCAAGATAATATGAACGATGAAGCGAAGAAAGATGATAGAAATAACTATTGGGGCGTTTTTATCTCTATCAATAAGTTCTGTAATCTACTTTTTAAACTTGCTCGTTAATTATAACCAAATCTATATTGCAGACTTTATAAAAACTATCCTCTCAGACCGCTAGACGCTGCCCAAGTCAAAAAAAAAACTTTGATAAGATCTTTTCACTTTACATTTCATCGGAAAACGCTCCTGTTTTTACCCTAAAGCTTCTCATGTGATATACGTGTTGTGTCTCTTGACTAGGTCGCATTCTGAATATACACGATTAGGTCTTTTGGGTCCATTTTAGTATTTCAATGAAACCAACAAGAATTTTGAAATTTTTTTAGGGCTTATGGGAAAATCTGTAGGGCCACTTTGGAGACTAGGATTAAGCTTTTTAAAATGTAATTTATTTTGTGGTCTAATAACTATACATGCTCAAATCTTACAAAGAAGATTTGCAATTGAAG